TATAATAACCATTTGCATAGGATTGACATTATATTGGTATTATAAGTAATCTACAGATGATTTAAAGGCTACAGGGGAATGTGAATGGCATCTATGCAAATGCCATGCAATTTTACATAAGGGACTTGGGTGCTTTCAAGGTTTGGTATCTACAGGGACTGCGCAACCAGTCCCTAAGGCCACTTATGTAAAATGATGTTGGGGGACTTGGGGGGAATCATGCAGGTGAGGGACATGAACTTGGAGCTTATAGTTTCATGGGAACCCAGTTGTCCCCTCAGAAGTAGCTGCAGCAGAGCCAAAGCCAGAACAGGGAATTTTCCCCTCCACAGGTGACCAGTTAAGGCACACTATATCCCTTCCTTCAGGGGTCAGGGTCTGATGATGCCCCTCATGTCCTCCTGAAGAGGAAGCCAGAGTGGGGGGGGGAGATGGAGAAGCAGGCACAACCCTCCTACTTGGGTACATAGTGGGCATGGGAAGGAGTGGGCATTTTAAGCAGGTAGGAGGTTGGAGTTTTCATTTTCACTGGACCTTGGACAACAATGACCGGAGAAATGTAAAATGTGTTCATGTTCACATCCCGTCTAATCAAACCTTTCAATAACCTAATTGCACAGACATTGATTTGAAGTTTCTATTGTGCTCTTGGTAGAAGACACCAAGACTCCTGGATTTGCTCCTTTATCCTAACATGTGCCAAACATATAGCCTTTGATAAATAATTTATCTACTGCAAACCTCAGTTTTACCATCCAAAAATGGGTCATGAGAGAGCTGGGTATGGTGGCACATGCCAGTAACTCCTGCACTCTGGGAGGCTGAGGCAGGAGAATCGCATTTCAGGCCCAGCATGGGCAACTCAGTCACTTAGTAACAAAGGAAGGGATGGCGGGAGGGCTGGGGATATAGCTCAGTGCAAACGCCTTGGGTTTAATCCCCAGTACTGCATAAATAAATAAATACGAAATCAATAAATATGTGGGTCATGTGCTTGGAGAACATATTTGTCTCTGGGTCTAGGGCCAAGGTCTCAGACTCAGATGGGTGGGGACATGGAATGTCCCTGATAATGAAACAGCTTTAGCCTGGATGGGTGAGTCTCCAGGACATGCTAAATCAGGCTGCCCTGCAGGATCTTAGGCTGCCCAGGCATATCAGTCTGTGACTCCTTCCTCCTCAGCTCCAGGATCAGGAAGAACTGTCTGCCCCCAAGCCCAAGCTTCCTGTGGCATAAAGATGTTGACACGGTGCTGCCCTGAGTTTAGCAGATTGCACCCTGATGAACCAGGATCAGTGTCCTGACAAGGATCCATGCTGTAGGCATTTCCTCTCCCGTGGTCCTGGCCTTTTCCCTGCTTGGTTTCCTAGAAACAGAACAGTCTTGACAGGAAAAGGTCCGCTGATCCTTGGCAGGGCCAGCGCTTGGTAACCACCTTCGGATAATCCTTCGCCCCTTACCCTCTCCTTCCTCCCAAGCCTTGGTTCTCATCTTTTCTTCCTTGTTAAGTCAGTCCAACCCTCACTGCATTCCAAAATCCTTTAGGGAAGTGTAACAACACTTTGGGCTGCAAAGAACAGAAAGCTCAATTCTATCTGGCCCATCTCACTTACACAGCCGGATCAGGCTTCTGACCCAACAGCAGCGGTCAGGACTCAGTCTCTGTGCATCTGCCTATTTTGTCCTCTGTCTCTGGAGTGGCAAGAATGTTCAGTGTTCCGACCTCTCAGCAACCTCAGAGAAAAGGGACAACTGCTAGCCAAGTAGTTGGTATGTAATAGAAAGCAGTTATTACAGGTATGGTGGCACACGCCTGTAAAACCCACACTCCAGGAGGCTGAGGCAGGAGGATTACAAGTTGCTCAGGCAACTTAGTGACTTAGACAGACTGTATCTTAGAAAACAAACAAACAAACAAACAAACAAACAAACAAACACAAACCATCTAAACAAAAAAATCTGGAAATGTAGCTCAGTGCCACCACCACCAAAAAAAAAAAAAAAAAAAAAAAAAAAAAAAAAAAAAAAAAAAAAAGAAAAGAAAAGAAAAGAAAAAAGTGATAGGCTTGGGAGGGAAGAAATGCAGCCTTTGATTTCATCTCAGCATTGAATGTCATCTGCCTGGTCCAGGTCACCTGCCTGTTCTTGAGGCAATCCCATGGACTGAAGAAATGGAACCACTGGGCTACGCTGCAGAGAGGAGTCAGGGGTCAGTTCTCCCCTGTTCTGTGGAGACTGAGAATGGAGCACAGATGTTTGGTCACCACTCAGCAGGAGATCAGCTGTGACAACTGATCTCCACTGCAAGTTATCAGATCAAGTCATTATGATTGGGACTGGAACAGCTGGGCCAAAGAGGAGTTATGAGCTCATCATCCACCGGTACCTCTGGTTGATCTGTCCTGCTCTAATCCCCAGGGGCAGGCTCTTAGGATTGCAGGTACAGTGTGGGGTGTCAGTGAGGTCTGGCTCAGAGCCAGTGGACCTCACCTTCTTTGTCTGAGCCATGATCCTTCAGTGTCAGATTGCAGCTTCTGTGAGTCATAGGCCATGGTCAGTCAAGCACTGCCCTTCTTTCTTCCTCTCTCCTCCCTGTGATCAAGGGGATGAAGCCACCTGCTTCCAGAGCCTCAAAGACCCTGGCCTTTTCCAGGAGCCCCAAAGCCCCAACACTTCCCTGCCTCGTCCTTCAGAGTAATTCCCCTGAGAAGAGGAGCTTCTAGGGGATGTAGGTTGCTGTTTATCTCCCCCTGCTCAAGTCATCTCTAGGGTTCACCTCTATCTGAAAACTTTCCTGGGCATTCCGGGGAGTGAGGTGTCCAAACTACCCTTCCAGGCCAGCCACACACCACGCAATGGAAGAAAGTACACCTTTATTTCAGCCCTCGCCATCCCAGACCCCAAACCACAGCCCATTCCTGAAGTCTGTGGTACAAGGTCCAGAGGATCACAGTGAACACAGCCCAAAATACAGTGTCACAAATCCCTGCCAAGGAGCAGCTCAGCCACCTTCTCAAAGAGAGGTGACTGGGGTCCACTGCAGATAGAGCCAGGGAGCAAGACCCAGACCCCAAGGTGCAAAGAAAAAGTGCCAGGGAAGCCCCGGGACACTCAGTGAGACTGAAGCGGCAGCTATGGGAGTTCCCACTTTGGCCACTGCTAATCCCAGCTATGGAGCCATCCCAAAGGTGAGGACAGCGCCAAATGTGGGGTCCTAGTGCAAGCCAGCTGGCTGAGGTAGTATAAACACATGAGGGCAGGGAGTGGCAGTGACCACACCAGTTGCTCTCACAGGCTGGGAGATGCCCACTTTCCAGGAATGACAGGGTGGCCGGGGAGGTGGAGGACTTGATTGGTACTCTAAGACTGGTACCTGACTGGGCCTAGGGACAGAGTCCCAGAAATATCAAAAACTGCCGAGGAAGGTAGGGTAAAACTATTGGGCAGAAAGAGGACACTGTTTGGAGAGGAGAGAGAGAGAAGAAACAGAGACAGCAACAAAGAGAGAGACAGTGGGGGTCCCACTCCCCAGCCTCATCGCAGCTGGTTATTGAGATTAAAGCAGCTGGCCAGAGAATGGGCAGAATCAAAGGTGTGGAGGGGCCTGCCTTTCCTGCCTACTCCACCTCTACCCTAAGCCAGATTTAGGCAACAGCTCATCTTCCTCCTCTTGCAGGTACTTTGCCTGGGCCTAACCACACCAATCCTCCAGCAGCTACTCCTGGATGGCTTCTGTGGAGCTCCTGGAATTACACACCCATAACTCCCCTAGCCCTAGGCAGGGCAGGAGAAAGGGACGAGGGGCAAGGGAAGTCAGGTTCAGTAGGGACAGAAAAGTAAGATCTCGAGAGCTACAACCACATTGTCAGGTCCAAGACCAGCAGTGTGGAATCTGCCCTTCAATCATTAGGACTTAAGTACAGAGAAAAACTTAAAGGAGATGTTTAACAATGTAGATAATTTTTGAAAACTTGGGTGTGTGTACATGCTAGGTTTTTCTTGTTTTAGTCATTAATTTATCATCTTTGAACACAGTTTAAAATACTTTTTAAAAATTACAATAAATTACCCACTATAGGGCTGGGGATTTAGCTCAGTGGTTCCGCCACCTGCTTCACAAGCACAAGGACCTGAGTCTGATCCTCAGTACCAAAAAGATAAAAAGATAAAATAAGATAATTACTCACTGTAGTGGCACCACCTTAGGTAACCAGAACTTTTAAATGCCGGATTTGCTATTTCTTCTAAATCCTTTCTTTATTTTTGGGAAAAAGTCGCTAATCAAATTAACGGTGAGTGGGGAACAATTTCCAGGAGCACCTAAAGCCTAGCATCCATTGCTCCAGGAGTCCAAGACCAAAGGTCTATGGGTGCCGCTCCTGGGAATGTCTACAAAACCACAGTGTCATGCAGTCAGTGAGGCCCCTGAGAACGAAGTGTGAAATCCTGGAGTGAAGCAAACAGCTCCTTGATGTGGCTGAGGGGTGATGCGAGCCTTACTTGAAGCTTTTGATTGCAGGAAAGGAAGGAAATTTGGTACAGTGAACCCCAAGTATCCACTGGTGCTGTATCCACAGATTCAACCAACTGTGTATCATCTACTATGTAGTTAGGTCTACAGTGGTGGCACATGTGGAAATATTTTCTTGTCATAGTCTCTGAACAATGCAGTATAGTGAGTATTCACATGACATTTACATGGCATCAGGTATTAAGTAATCTAGAGATGGTTTAAAGGATACAGGAGAAGTGCATAGGCTCTGTGTCAATACTATGTTATTTTATGTATGGGACTTGAGCATCTAAGGATTTCGATATCCACAGGAGTCCTAGAACCAGTCCCCTGTGGATAATGAGAGATGTCTGTAAAAACTTTTATTTATTTATTTATTTATTTTGTACCTGGGATTAAACTTGGGACCTTTCGCTTATCAAGGCAGGTGGCAGCACCACTGAGCTAAATCCCCAGCCCTGTAAAGACTTTTAAAATATACTGATTTAATTTAGAATTAATTTTAAATGTTAGCTCAAAACAAAAACACCCCATAAGCTAAATAAGACAAGTCTAGTGGCTAGCTTCCTGTGTTACTTTTATGAAATTGTAGAGATTCTGAGATTTAGGAATCCTACATTCAGTTCGATGTTCCTACAGTAGTTTGAAGGATCTTGTCATTCAGGTTATTATTCAGCAGGTCTGGGTGGGACCTAAGATTCTGCATTTCTAACAAGTTCCCAGGTAATGATGCTGCCCCATGAGCCACACTTTCTGTAATGAGGACTTACTTCATTCTTTCACCTAGGAATTCCCTCTGTCACAACTTGTCAATAATGCCTCCAGTTCTGTTTGCTCACCTTCAGGGACTGAACACTCACTACCTACTGAGTGCTGCTGCAGCTACCACTAACTTCTTCCAGGTCTGTGGCAAAGAACACCAACAATCAAATATGCCAGAGCCTAGGCATCAGAGTTCCACAAAAGAACTCCAGGGGCACTTGCCAGGACTGAGTGTTGTTGCAAAGATCTAAGCAGAGAAGACTTTCTGTCCAAATGTCTGCTCAGGAGCTCACAGTTAAACAGAGAATACTCCTATTCTTCCACTGTTCTGGTTAGTAAAGGTTGGTACAGTTTAATTTCCTTTCCCCAAAACCTCAAAGAAAGATTCTCTCTGCACGTGAGCAAGTGACTTGGTTTTATCCACTGCAGGAGCCAGTTTCTGACTAGAGGGCACTGGAAATGGGAGTTTCCAGGCTAAACAGAAGCCCCAGCCTCCCCAGGCCACATGACCACCAATGCCTCAATGGAACAGGGGGCCTCCAACTCCTCTGGAGTGGCCACCCCAGATCCCTTCCTGGGCCCCTGAGAGGCTCTGGGAAGTGGAGAACACCTCACTCCAACATCCCCTGGTGGGCTCAGAGCCCCTAAGAATTGGGACCCCATAAGTGTCCACATATGCCAGTGTTGTATATCCCAAGGCCAGCCACTCTGAAGTCCAACAGTCAGGGCAGGGCGGGTCTGTGAAAATCGCTTAGGTCCCTGTCATTCCACTGTTGAAGGGTACACAAGTCTGAAGATCCAACGAGACCTTCCCAAGGCCACACAGATGGTTTGCAGATGGTTTTGTAAAGACTCAGAATCCTTGGAGGCAGAGCTGGACAGAAGCCACTGGTAAAGGCCCAACTTTCAATCACACATAGCAGCAACTTTCAGGAGAAGGGCTTTCCAGAGTAGTCCTAAGGGGAAAAGGAATCTTTGAGAGGGAAGTGGAGGAAAGGAGTCATGGGGGCTCACCTAGAAAGGGGAGGGCCGTGGGTCTCAGGTCCTTGAAGGAGGATAGTGGGCAGGACTTCTGCTCTAACAAAACTCCAGGGACAACTTTCACACTCTCCTCTAGCCAGTGTTGCCCCCTAGAGCTCTGTCTCTTGTGCAGTGCACAGCTTCAGAATCATCCTGAGTAGGCATGGCTTATGCTGTGGAGGAGGAGGTGGGATCAAGGGAGAAGTCAAAGGAAGTGACAACTACAGGATTTCCTACACTTGGATTGCTGGACCACTCCAGACCTACCAAACCAGTATCCTGCAGCAGGTGCTTCCCTCCTGGTGAAATCCCTGGGTTTAAGAACCAGCCTGGGCAAGGTAACTCAGGGTTGGGACACCTGGTGTGGGTGGGGCTTTTTGTAGGCAGGGCTAGGCCTTGGGGCTGTGGAAGAAGCCCTGTCTTTAGGAAGCATTCTCTAGAGGTGGCTGGAGTCTGAGGGGGAGAGCAGCACCTGTCCAGCGCCGGGCCTCACTTCCCTGAGAATTGGCCCGGCCTAGCCTTTTGCAGCTTCTGGAACTGCTCAGGAGGAATCTCTTGCAGGCTGATGCCATGGTTACTGGCCCTGCAGAGAGGAGGAGGCAGCCTCAGGGAAGAGGAATGGGGACCAGGACTGCCTAGGTAATGCTGTTTGGTGTTGCGCCAAGGTCAGACCCAAAGCTCAAAGGAAAAAGGGATGAAGGGATGCACTCAGCCCTCCATTTCTTCGTCTTTCACCCAGTTGGAGCAAGGCAGTCCCTCCTCACCCTGGCTTCAGGTCAGGCGGTTTGGGGAGGGGCTTGTTAAAGCCGAGTCTGCCCACCAGCCAGTACGTGTCCTCAACGCCCTTGCCCTGGAGAGACACAGCGGAGGGAGGGGAGACTTAGGCAGACTTGGGTAAGGGATGCGGAATCTGTAGGTCTAAGTGGAACCCAGAAACTCCGGATCCCTAGGGGTTGGAGCCGGCCCTGCCTCACCTTCAGCTCGGTGCGTCCGCGCAGCTCTATCTGGAAGCCTTGGTCCAGAGCGTGGAGAATCCGCACAGTGCTCAAGTTCACGTGAATGCGGTAAGCTGGTGCAGTGGGGGACACGGAGCTGTGGAGTCACTTGGCATGTTCCCCTCCTGGATTTTTCCACCCTCGGGCTCCGCCTCCCCCAACTCCTTGAGTCCCCGACACACTCACGAAGCCCAGTGGACTCCATGCGCGAGGCAGTGTTGACCGTGTCCCCAAACAGGCAGTATCGTGGCATGGTGAGGCCCACCACGCCCGCCACACACGGGCCTGTGGAGATGCACAGGGTTGGCTGGTAGGTGGGGCCTGGACTAAAGATAATGGTGCCCAGCAGCTGGGTTGTATCTAGGGCCTTGGAAGACCATACTTTACACTCTAAGCCCCTCATATCTCCACCAGCTTCCCAAATTAACACTCAATTGCATTTTCTTCAAGGAAAGCTCCCTGCCCACTTCAACAAGGCCTCCTGTAGAATGAATCTGGAGCCCTGAAGAGGGAGACGGGTTTAGAAGCCCGGAGGGCGGAGAGCTACCTGAGTGCAGGCCAATGCGGATGCGCACGGGCACCTCTGGCATATGGCGCATGCGGAAAGAGCCCACTGCACTGAGGATGTCCAGAGACATGTTGGCAATCTCTGCAGCATGCCGCTGCCCATTCCTCTGGGGCAGCCCTGAGGCCACCATATAGGCATCCCCAATTGTCTCCACCTGGGGGAAGGAATTGTGCAAACTCAGGGTGGAGCACACCCCTCTCCCGACACACAAAGTGAGTGTCCAGTGTCAGACATCCAGGGAGCTAGGCTCTGAGGAAGGGCCCAAGCTGGGACTGGAGAAAGAAAGTAGGACAGAAGGCTGGGAAAGAGGATTGGGCTATGGCCTAGGGCAGGTGTGCTGGGAGCTGGGGCAGGTGAACTGACAGTCAGGAGGTCTTGTCCTGTGCACACTCCACCTTATAGACATCGTGGGAACCAATGATGGCATCAAATAGAGTGTAGAGGTCATTGAGCAGGTCCACCACCTCAATGGGCTCACTCATGGCTGAGATGGTGGTGAAGCCCACGATGTCACTGAAGTACAGTGTCACCTCTTCAAAATACTCTGGTTCTACAGGTGTTCCCATCTTCAGGGCCTCAGCCACAGATCTAGGCATGCCAGGCAGTGGGGTCATATGGAGGCTAAGTCTGGCTGGGCTTCAGCTGCCCCCTCCACCCATCCCTCTCCAAACTGGCACCCACGGAGGCAGCATCTGTGTGAGCAAACGGTCTGTCTTCTGCTTTTCCTGCTCTAGCTCTTCTGTGCGCTCCCGGATCAGGTCCTCCAGGTTGCTGGAGTATTGCTCTAACATTCGAAGCATTGAATCAATGATGTTCATCTTCCGACCCTTGTTGATGCCTTTGAACTGGTAGAAGGCAGAAGCTGGTAGAGCTGCTGAAGACCTGGGCTGCCATGGTCCTTTCACGGGCCCCCTCATGGGGCTATATTTCTACCCCCCCACAAACACCATTTATCTTCTAATGATCAAGCACCCCTGGGGTGCTTGATATTGTGTTTTTTAGAGGCAAATGGGAAATGATACTTCCCAGGGGTAGTTGCTCTCAGCTAGGAATTGACAAGGCTCTGAAGCCAGTTCAGGCTTTGACATCTGGGATCCCAGGGGCCATCCCAGCCCTTGCCCACTCCCAGCCCCTGACCAGGTCAAAGATGTGGTCCATGGAAGGCCGAAGTTCTGGCTGCTCTGACCAGCATTGTGCCATCAGCTTGATGCACTCCATGGGTGCCTGGTCCATGGAGACGAAGGGCCGACACAGTGGAGGGGGGCTCTGTACCCTCTGTATCACTTCTGGAGGCATGAGGGGACTGTGAGGGGAGGGCACCCAAGAACAAAAGCCACCTCTGACCCTGGCCTGACTGTTTAAGTCTAAGATGGGGACTGACATAGGGTCCTTTAAATCAGAGCTTCAGTGGACGAGGAGGGTGATTAGTGTGGAAGGAGGTCACTAGGAGTAACAGAGGTCCTTGAACCTCTGAGGTCAATCGAATGACACAAAGAAACTAACACTGATTGTATGCAAGAAAAGTAAAGCTTAGGGTGAATTAGCTTGTAGATCAGAGTCCTACAGATGAGTAATTTGGATTTGAATCAAGTGGGATGGATTTGTTACCCATTTCTTTCTTCCCCTGCTGCCTCCCTAAGACATGAAACCAGAGGAACCTGCTCTGTCTGATGAGGAAGTAAGTTGGGTCCAGGACAGAAGCTATTGAGGTCAGCTCAGGGACATTCACTCTTCACTTATCTTGATGCTTGACTTTCCACTGTCCTGAACCTTTAAGGGAGTTTTAAGGGAGACCCTACTTAATTAAATCTCATCACTGGGGCAGGACCCAACCTGGCTCTGTCCTAACTGTAAGGTGCCTCTTTGGCCGGAACTCGCCTTACCCTCTGGCGTCAACTCCAGCATGGCGTAGGGGGCGCTGCGGCACACGACCTCCTGCATAATGATGCCCAGGCTAAAGACGTCGCCAGCGAGAGTTCCCCGGCGCTCCAGGGCCGGATCCCGAAGCAGCTCGGGGGCTGTCCACAGCTGATCTGGGGATGCAGGAAGGGCCGTGGGAGCGCTGGGGACAGACCGCCATCCTCACGAAAAAGCCCACGACCTCTACCCTTGCGAACTACTGGAAACTCAAGGCGGTTTTAGAGAAAGTCCCGCCCTCACAAGTAGGCCACGCCCTCAAGTAAATGGAGGCGGGAAAGACTCCGCCTCCTAGAACAAACCCCGCCCTTAGGCCACGCCCCCACACCTAAGCACACTCACCCGCTAGCAACTCCCGGCCTCCCAACACGAGCCCACCTTCTGAATGTCTCGGGGTCAAACGGCCTTTTCCACAGCGGCAGTCGTGCCGATGGGTGTGGAATGGGGAGGAGGAGGAAGGGAGGGGAGAATGATGGGGATCCTGGAGGATGCCCTCAGCCGGGACTCCTACCCTCCGCGTTGGGGGGCTCCGGTAACACCCTCTGCGCTTCCAGCAGTCGCCCGTGGCCGTGGTCTGTGACCTTGAGCACGAACCGACCGTCCACCACGCAGTTTCGTGATTTAAGCCGCCCGTGAGCCACGCAGCGATGGTGCAGATACCTCATTCCCTTGGAAGGGGTGGGAGAAGAGGTAGCCTCGGCCCCTCGGCCCTCCTACCCCCTCGTCCCCGCCCGCAGGACCCCACTTCCATCCCCACACCCACACCCACTTTGATGAGGTCCAGCAGGAGGGAGGACTTGAACATCCAGTCCAACTTTATATCTCTCCGGGCAAGGAGGTCATGGAGGGAGCCGCGAGCACAGTGCTCTGAGACCACGGCCAGCACGCGCTCCCCGGTCTCCGCAGGGCTGTCTGTTGCCCTCGCCAGGAAAAGCCCCAAGTAGAGGGCCACGTTCTCGTGCCGGAGCTCCCGCAGCTGAGAATGGAAAGTTGATGGGCATTTTCTGTCCTAGAGGCTGGGTGGGGAGGAGGCTGATATTCAATGCCCCGTGAAGTTTTTTTGTTTTTGTTTTTCCATACGGGATGAATCCCGAGGCATGGTACATGATAGGCAAACACTCTACTGTTGAACCACACCCCTAGCCTTCCAGTGTCTGTTTTTGAGTATCCAAATGGGAAAGATGGGGTAAAAATGGTGAATGAAATGGCCCGGAGAGTGTGGAGTGTGGGGGAGGACATTCTTCAGATATTTATGTCTTTAGAAAACACTAAAGTCAAAGGCCATTGTTCCAATATTGAATATGGCTGGTCTCAAAGTCATGACTAGAAAGTCAACCTAGCACTGGTGATCAGGACCCAGGTAGGATCTGATTTATTAGCCATAAAATTTTTGAACTGCTCCCACCTGACAGGAAAGTACTAATTACTGGTCCCTGAGGTTACAGTCTGTGGGGAGAACCAGAAAGAGAAGCTGTGTTACTTCCAGAGCACAGGGGACATGGCTTGTCCTGCAGCCTGGCCAGAGGTTGCTTTGCTTGGTGTTGTTTCACTGTTGTGAAAGATGTGTCTGAGACTCCCACCTTCCCTGAGTTAGGGAAAGACAGAACTGAGCAGTCAAGCCAAGGTTATGGAGGGGTCATCAATAAGGCCATACCCACTTGGCAGGCCAGAGTCCCCTTGCTTGCTGGAAAAATAGAGTAATCAGCTGAGTGGTGCTCTCTCTCTCTCTCTCTCTCTCTCTTTTGAGTCCACAGGCCCAGTAAGGGGCTTTTCTTTTTCATTTTAAGCACATGGTGCTAAAAGGGATTTAGCAGTCCACGTAAGTCATTTTCCAGCTGTGACCATGAGCTCCTGAAGGAAGCTTCTGAGAAGGCCAGACCAACACTGCTTAGTACTGGGCAAAAAGAGGAACATTAAGGTCAAAATAACCAGAATAAGCAGTCTGTTATCTCTTTGCTAATTATCCACTTTATTCAGTATGCATTGATATGGCTAGTGGTCAGGCAAAAGTGGAAACTCATTTTTAAATTTTCTACCATTCACTTAACAGATATTTACTGAGTCTAATATTCCAAATCCTGTGCTGGGTGTTGGGTATGACACAGCAAAGTCCTAACTTAGCTTGCAGTCTATGAGAGAGGTAGATAAATAAGATGGCCCACTGATGAACTAGTAAGTTATGCAATAAATTAACATGTAATTTATCACAAATAAGTTGTGATAAGAACATCAAAGGAAAGAACTTGTACCACAGGAGAGAAAAATGGGCTATCTGCTCTAGAGTGGAGGGAATGCTTAACAAGTATCCTGTTGCAAAAAGGAGGCAAGAAGGGAGAAGTCGACGGTCACCCCATACCCCATCGCATCTGAACCCTCACCTTGGAGAAGGCCATCTTGGTCGCTGAGCGGATAGCTATGTGATGATCCCCTGAGAATTTCTTCAGCCAGACCCAGTCTCCCTGCAGCAGAGAGGATAGGGCTTGGGAACTAAGTCTTCTTGGGAACCAAAGTCCCACAAGGCAAGAAGCTTGGAAGCCCACATGTCCATCCGTCCATTGTCCTAGAACACCTCTCCCACAAGACAGAAGCCACCAGGAGTAAGGAGCTTGCTGTCTGTCTGCTTCATTGCTAATTGGGTGAGAGCCCATCTCTAGGAAAAAGAGATGCAAAGAGCCCAGATAGGTGTCACCACCCCAGGAAACATCTATAGCCCCGCAAAAGTGAATTTTTACAATTACAAATGTCATTGACATCACAGCTCTCATCACCCCTTGTGGTGACAGAGCACTTTGCTGTGAAGCAGGCATCTGGGAAGATCAGGCTTTATTGTAAACCATCTGTGGAATATAGGCAGCTCCCCGTGTCCCCAGCTTTGGGCCTTACTGTCCTCAGTTATTTGTGAGGACACACACCCAAGTCAGGGCCCCAGCTCAGTTCAGTGATCCGCTGCTGTCATCTTGAATGAACAAGGGGCTTCCATGTCTTATTTTGCCCTTGCCCTTGCAGATTATATAAGTGGTTCTATCTATAGGTAAAGGGTTTAGATTAGAAGGGAGTTTTGTCGGTTTGGTATTGACCTGTAAATAACATTTGGAAATACATGTGGGGACATTGTTAACATCACAAAAGCTGCAGTTAGGGATCAGGGCCACAGATAAGAGAAACTAAACAGTCTTCAAGGCACAGGGTAATCCCATATGATGAAGAGCCCAAAATGACAGTTGTGCCCCTTAGAAATTGTCAAGATGCTCTCCAGAGGACTTAGCAGGAACTTCTGCACTCTCTCAATGACCTGGAGCTCTGGACCTCTGAATCTCCCCTCTGCTCTTGATTAGCTGAGCTATCTCTAGGCTCTATCTGAATCTCTTCTCATTTTCTCCCATCCCCCCTACCAATTTCAGATTTTCTGGTGCATGAGGAGAAATACAGGACAGAAGATGACTCTCTTTCAGTTAGTGTCCTAATGCTCTTTTCTTCTTTTCTTTTCCTGCTCTAGGGCCTGCTTTTCCCGAGTCTCATCTAAATTGGGTGAAAATACTGAGTAGGCAGGTCCAGGAGCTCCCAACGTGGCAGGAATGTCCTTAGTGGCCACACCAGCTTCTGAGTCCCCATGACTGGCCTTTGAGGAGCCATTGCCTGGATCATGGCTAGAGGAAAATCCTGCAGCAGAGAGAATTCCCAAATGTGGAATCAGGTCAGGATTGAACAATCCATGACCTTTCCCTAGGTCCTTCCTGGCTCTCATCCCCTTTCCTGGCCTGCATGATTTGACATGCCTCCACTGAGAGTGCCTCTTCTCTGCCTGGGCATTCCTGTACCACTCTTCCTACTGGAGTAGAATGAAACATGACAAGGGGTCAGGCTCACCTCATAGAGACCAATGCTGGAGCTTTCCAGGGGCTGGCTGGGGATGCTATGAATGTCTGACACACTGTGAGTGGCCAGACTTGACCGACTTCCCTGGACCACCTAGGGGAGAATATGCTCTCGGGTTAGAATTCTGGATTGAGGTCAGGCTGAGTTTTGTAGACTAAAAGGGGGACAGGAAGAAATTTCAATTAGAGAACATGATAATGGCATAACTTTCCAACAGCACAGCACTTCACAAACATTCATGGTCTTACTGGACCCTCACATCACCCTAGGAAAGTAGCCAGGACAAAGTCTGTCACCACTGTTGCATAGATGAAATTACTCCTCAAAGATAGGACCTGGGGGAAGGGGCAGAAACCAGGCTTCCAAATTAGGAGGTTGGAATGAGGGCTGGTTCAAGAAAGGAATCAAATATACATACATACAGGGAGAAGACATCAAGCTACAGGCTCCGTTTTCCCCACCTTTCGAGAGCTGCCCCCTTGTGGCTGAAGGAAGGTGATGTCATCAGGAGTCAGGATAATCTTGTTGGGACCAGAAACCATTTGGATGTGAAGAAGCCGGTGTCTTGAGGGAGAAGAAGGTCATTCCCCCAAAGGAGATGAAGTTCCATGAGAAGAGGCCAGCAGATGAAGGGATGGTAACAGGTCAGGGAAGAGAAACTGGGTAGCAGCCATCGCCAAACCAGAAGCCCTCAGGGATTCTACCAGTCCTCCAAGATCTTTATTCCCTTTCCCAAGAAAAATCCTCCCCTCGTCCACTCTTGAGAGGGCACAGCCTGCTGTCTTTGCTGCACAATTTCATTCTGGCAGGTGGAGAGGCAGGATCACCACCTAGGATACCTTGTGCCTAGTTGCCCCACTCACCTCATATAGTGGGCCAGGAAAGCCCCCTTGAGCCCCAACCCTACCACCAGAAGGAAGCCAAGAAAGACGAGGCCAGGCTCCACTCCTGAAGGAACAATGAGAGGAGGAATGCTCAGGCCCTTGGTCAGACAAGGCCCACTCTTCTAGGGAGGCAGACAGTCATGCCAAATCCTAGAGGCTGCGGGAAATGGGGAGGATGGGAGCTAGGGCAGGCTTTAAAGGGAAAGTCACAGATTCATCAAGGGGGAGTTTTCAGATGTTAAAAAAGGTCCCAGAGGGTTTGAGGACTCTGCAAGGGAGGGGTTCTGTGCAAGTCTGGGGTTGAAGGAGGACCTGCAAAGCATGAGAAGAAATACAGGACAGAAGATGACGTTCTTTCAGAATTGGACAATCCCTGATGACTGTCCCAGTGGAAGCAAGGCACTGGTCCTCACCTTCATTGCAGATGACATTTGGATCAAACCAGCACCAGGGATCTGGTCCGGGCGCTGGGCCTCCTCGAGGGAAGTGCACCAGGTTCCCTGCAGAACTCAGGAAGCCTCGGGCAGGGTCCAGCATATGTGTGGCAAACAGCCTGTCTCCAGCTGCATCAGTGTCCAGCAGCACAAAAGGGGGCTTCTCAGTTCCTCCTAGGGCCCCGCAGAACCCAAGGATGTGGGCATCCTGGATGTGGCGGGCCACAGCAGCTCCAGAAACCCGGCCACCACCAGAGGAGGCCTGGGCTTCCACCACGCCCCCAGCCAACAAGAAGATGGAGTCATAGATGGTGCCAAAGAGCGGGGAAACCTGGAGAAACACAGTAAGGCCTAGGACTCGGAGCCACAGCTCACAAACTGATGGGAACTCTCTGGTTCCAGCTGTTCTTTCACTGGGTCTTTTAAACACTGCACTACTGGTTGTTCCTATTTCATAGTTAGTGGTTCTCCATATCCCATTCTATTCTATACCTCTTCTATTCTTCCTTTGGGCTTTTCTTCTCTTGGCTGTCTCTTTTCCTTTCCTCATTGTCAATCTCTTTCTTTCTGTCTCCCCATTAGTTATCTCTTCCTTTCTTCCCATTGGCTATGCCACTCAGTCCACCCACAACTGGACCTCTCTTCAGGAACTGGGCTCTTTCAGTCATACTTGGTTGATTCTTACTGTCACCTAGAGTTCTTTCTTCTTGTTGGTTGCCCTGTGTATGCTTTTAGTCTCATTATCTATCATTCACCTAAAAACCTCATTTCCCATCATTTGGGTGGCTTCTATCTTCTGTCCCCATCTCCAAGTTTCCAGCCGGTCTCATTGGGCCTCTGCGCTGTTCCCAGTTCCCATCTCTCAAAGTCTCAGGCACAATGTTAAGCACTAGAGATGTGTTGGTGTATGAGACCATCCCTGCTTCCAGGAACCTTTTGTCTATTTGGGAGATGGACACATATGTTGAAGCAATGCAATGAGTGAAAGCAGGGGAAACTGAGGGTTGGGTGTGGGGACAGGAATGAAGGTCCCTAACATAGGCTGGAGAAACAGGAGGATGTTTCCAGAAGTAATGACCACACTCAGGGGAAAAATTAGATTATATAGTGGCAGAAAAAAGGAAGTAACACAAGCACCCACTCAGAGGCAAAAGAGAAGGACAACTTTATGGGACCCAAAGTAGCCCAGTCTAGCTGAAGTTCATGGAAGACAGAAGAAAGAGAAGGGAAGAGTCGAGTCCTGTGTGAAGAGACCTGCATCCAATAGAGTCATGAGCATCTTCAACCCAGGCTCCAGCAAGGCCATCCAGGCGCCACTAGGAGGTTTTAAAAATGGAATTGACTGGTAGGTTTTGTCAGATTTCTGAAGCTGATTGTTGGGTTGAGGAAGACCTGGGCCAAGGAAGAGTTGAGGCAGAGATTTGGGAGATCACGTTGCGGTATTTGGGACAGAAGTGCTGTGGCCTGAACCAGTACAGTGACAGTGAGAATGGAGAAAGGGGATGGATTCAAATGACTTTGAGTAAGTAAAAGACATAGTTTGATGTCTGGATGTGGAGGGAAAAAGTTAGAGGAATTTCCGTGAGTCCCTTGGGTCTGGCTTGAGCAGCTAGTGGTGAGCAACTAGTTCACTGAGCACTAAAGAGAGATTCTTTCCACTTTCTCTACCCTTCTTTCTCCCCTGCCCAATTCTCCCTCCATCTTGTCCCACTCATATTCTCTCTCTCCTCTCTCTCTCTTTTTTTGGTCCTGGGGGTCAAACTTGGGACCTTGTGCTTTCGAGGCAGTGGCAGAACCACTGAGCTAAATCCCTGGCCCCCGATTCATATTCTCTTATTGACTATTCCCATCCTCTCTCTTCAGTGGCTACCCCAAATTATCCTGGGGATTGGCAGGAATATTTAAAACCCTATGATATATAGCCTCTTATGCAATACCCTTGGAATATGGCCTGTCTGGTAGATAATTTCCTGCCCATTGATGTCTAAATTTCCTTCTATATTAATGGTTTCTAGTCCCACTTTGTGACTGGGGTAGAGATAGATGGTTTGAACTGGGATTCTGGGGACTCAGGGAATTCTGTTTATTAGTTGGATGTTGGGAATAAATATTGGATCTAATTATGGGAGCTGCCATGTAAGCGACCTTTCTGTTCTTGCAAGATGTCAAGGCCCCTTAAAAAGCTATGCCACCAGATGAAATCCCACAGGAAATGCCTCTGAATGAGACAGGACGGCTGGATCTGCATCCTCTGTCTTTCTTGCTTGAGAACACCAGCTGTTTATTGTGGACTGTATATTGGTAGTGGTTCTGGAAGTGGGTTTTGTTGTTTTTCTTTTTGGAGCAGACTGAAAATGATGTTGCAGTTTAGATTCTACTCCTTGGAGCTAGGCTTTAGAGATCTTTTTGCCTACTCTCTGGACCTAATCCCAGTATTTTAAAATACACCAAGTAAGACTCTAGCCTCTGCGTGACCCTGGAAACTCCAGAATAGCTAGATAGAGCTGTTTTCTGTCCCTGCTAGCTCCATCCTTCTCTTCTCAATTTGGCTACTTCCTGCCCTCTTCCCTCCTCCATGATCCATCTACCTGCAGCAGATTGAGGTCTGGGGGCAGCTCCTGGTGTTCTTGGGCCCTGCGCAGGCCGTCCAGCACGCTGCCTCCCAGAGGACAGTGTCGTGTGAGGGTGAGCACAGCGTCATGGGCCCTTCGAAGCTGGGAGCTGTTGGCAAGCGCAGCCAAGGCCTCCGGGCCTGGGGACAAGGCATAGTGCAGGGTGTCGAAGGGCAGGAAGACCAGGGAGCCATCCACCAAGCCTAGCTCCTCTGCGGCTTCCAGTAGGTAGCGCTGCTCCTCGCCTCCCAGCAGCACTGAGTGCATCACCATGATCACTACTGCGAACACAGAGGCTCAGCTCTCGGGGCTGCGGGGCTGCTGCGCCGGCGGCTGGCACAGCAGGGCCTACCGACCCCAGCCCCGCTCCTGCAGGGGAGCCTACCTCTGACGCTAGGCCCTTCCCGGACTCTCCTCAGGGCCTCCCGTGCTCCAGACAGGTCGGATGGCTCCATGGACGTCACCAGAGCAACCGGCAGGCCCCGGGCCCTCAGTGCGGTGGACAGAGCCTGTCCCGCCTCCACCCACAGGTCCTGGGGGGCGGTGACCAGGGCCACACGCGCCCAGCGGAAGCCTCGAAGGAGGACATAAAGAGCATCCGCGGCGGGGGTCACAGCCAGGGCCGTGGTGCCCGCCGCCAGCGCCCCGGGGCATCCCCAGGGCACCAGCGCAACCCCAGCCTCTTGGGCTAGGAGTTCAGCGGGCCGGCAGGCTGCAGGGTTCACGGGGCCCACAAGACCTGAGACGCGGGAAAGTGCAGAGGACACAGCGCCCAGCGACCCTGACGTACGGCAAGGCTCCTGCAGCAGCACGACCTCGAAACGCGGGCCGCCTTGCAGGGCAAGGTCACGGTTCAGGCGGGCTGCGGCCAGACGCGCGGCCAGATCCGGACGCGCCCGGGCGAAGATGGGGTCGCATGTCCAGGGGCCCAGTACCCCTACTTTGAACAAGGCAGAAAAGGCAGAGGGCGGAGGGAAGAGCAGCAGGAGTAGGAACCGGAGCAGCCCCCGCCAGGGCAGGGCCCGCGGGAGGCGGGGCGCGGGGCGGGCGTCGCGAAGCCCACTCGCGTGGAGGGCGCGCGCAGTCATCTCCGGCTTCTGCGAACCCAGACGCGGAAGATGGGCGGCTGAGGACCCCAGAGATCACTGGGGAACCTGTTTCTCAAAATCCGCTTAACCCATGGGGTTTCATCGCTTCCTAAGCCCCCTCCCAGGCTTGGGCGACTAGATGAGGGCCAAGAACGCGACCTCCAGGCCCCCTTCAGCCACCTCTGCCAACAATTGTCCACCTGTTTATCCTCCTCCACCCCTACTCCGTTCCCCGCGTTGTTGTCTTGAGGGTAGCTGGAGACTCGACAAGCCCACACCCACCCTCAGACAGGACCAGGCTAAGGAAAGGGGTCCTTGCACTCACCGGAAAGTCTGAGGCTCAGGCCCAGGGCCCGGGTGAGGGGTCGCAGGGGTCGATCCCCCTTGTCTTCCTGACAACCCAGTGTGTGTGTGTGTGTGTGTGTGTGTGTGTGTGTGTGGCAACAGCAGGCCTGAGCCTTTAATCTCCCCAAGCGGATTAGGGTCCCTTGGCCTGGGAGGGAGGGCTGATGGAGGATGGAAACCCTTATTGTGCCTCTCTTCCCTCCTCCAGGTAGCCAGGAGCCGGGGTGGGGGTGTTGAATTAATCTAAATCTCACATTATACCCAAAATCAATTCCAAATTAAAGACCTACATGTGAAAAACTTTTTTTTAAAAGAGATACTTTAGTAGGGATTGAGTCTCCAAGGACTTTGTGTTGCATCACATCTCTCTCTTTTTTGAGGAGGGTACTGGGGATCGAACTCTGGTCCAAACTCAGGTCTTTGGGCTTGCAAGGAAGACGGCAGAACCACTGAGCTAAATCCCTAGCCACCTTTCCTCTTTTATGAGGTGGGGAATTTAACTCTGGGCCTTCTGAAAAAACTTTTCTTATGGTATCAAGGATCAAACTCATGATCTTCTGTTTGCAAGGCAGGCACGGTGCCACTGAACTAAATCCTCAGCCCCTGAAAAACCATTTTTTAAAAGAATAAATTTGCAACCATCATGAAGTTTAGATCAGGTCAGAATTATCCACAGATACTAAAGTTAGGTGGAAATTTTCATGAGGATCAGGATATTTTTATGGTCTTAAAGTATTCCCCTAGAGCTGGAAGAGACTAACCATTGTATAATTACTATTTTTCTTGGTTCCATCTCAGGATAACCCTTCTGGAGGCACAACACATCTATCTGCCCCTCATTGGTTAATTTTGATCACTTGATCAAAGTGTTGCCTTACTCTTCCATTGTATAATTATAATTATGTAATTGCTCCCTCTGTAGGGCATGCTCTCTCTCTCTCTCTCCTGCCTCGCCACTGTCCCACTCAGGCAATCCGTAGGAAAATACTTTAAACCTATAGTTATAGAGAAATGCTATAAAGAATGTCAATATCAACCAAAAATTGGCAACTGATAAAATTGGAATGTGGACAGATTTGATAGAAGTTGTAAATTTAAGAAGTTAGGCTTTGTCCCAGTTGTGGAGTAGAGCTGCTAGCAGCAGGCATTTCACCATTAATTAGGGTCTCCTGGACAGATGGAAAACCTGAAGTAACCTCGAGCTAACTTTGTATTTTTGGAAAAGTAGTAGACTTACTGGAGTTTTTAGAACTTCAGCTATCAAAATGGGCAGAATTTTCCACATGGTTCAAGATGTGAGCTGCAAAAACTGCAACAGCAAACTGGGAAGGACCCATGATTTTGCCACCGTAGCCAGCTAGTGTTTAAGGAAGGTGGTGTAATCCTGAAATGTGCTCTAGTTCAAGAGAGTAGGGGATTTGAAGTGCATGTACCATCTGGTAATTCTTGAAGAAAAAAAGATAAATCCGTCTTTTTTCAGGTCTCCTTCACTGAAAACAAAAACCTGTTTACAATGTCACTTTACTATCAGAGTTGTATTCATGACTAGGAACAAGATGGTGTGAGGATCCAAGATGAAACCCTTTCTTCCTTCTTTCTTTTTCTTTTTAATCTTGTATTTTTCCATCCGACAGCAGTGTGTAGAGAGAATATTATGCAGATGCTGTTAACTTTTTTCCCTATATTTATACCTTGAGGCAGATAAGTTTACCTGCTGCTATGTGGTGGGCCATGTGAAGAAAAAGTCTGAGCTATTAGACTGAAAAAGTATTCTATGTAAATTCTGAGTGGAGAATATGTCACAGGCATGTTTTTAAAACTTATTTGGGTTTCATTTTATTTACTTATTTATTTAGGTACTGGGGATGGAACTCAGGTCCTTGTCCATGTGAGGCAGGTGGCAGAACCACTGAGCTAAATCCCCGGCTCTAGGGCTTCATTTTAAAATATTTTTTAAACCCAGTTATATCACTTGATTTGCCAGCTTCAGAGAAGAGATACAAATCTGTGCCCAGGACTAAAGGCTCAGGGTTAGTAGGGCTTGTGCCGGCCACCGGCCATCGGCCATCGGCCATATTCTTATTGGAGATGAACTATAACACCATAGCCCAATTCTTCCTTGTAAGTCCTGACCCAAAAAGTCACTATCTTATTTATCCATTCATCCATCTGCTTCCACCTTTTGACTATTGTGAAAAATACTGCTGTGAACACATAAAATTCTGAGTCCCCATTTTCAATTCTTTTGGGCCTATAGCTAGAAGTAGACTCGCTGGATCCTATGCTAATTCTATTTTTTGTTTCAGGAACTGCCATACTGTTTTCCACAGCAGCCATGCCATTTTATATCATATTTCAAAGGCAGACTATTTTAAATCCCTGCTGGTCCTTGGGGCAGGGTCATCCAGCCAGCCTCCACCCACCACACTGTCCCACCTTCTAGAGAAGCTGACTGAGTCTGCTTCCTTGTGCTTCTGTTTTGTGTCTGTTGCCTGCTAATTAAACAAAACATGCCCTCTCCACATAAAGGGCAAAGCCACTTCTTAAAGTAGCAGAATTACATTTTAATCCAACTACTATAAATAACCTCAGCTGCTGAAGGAGCTCTCACGCAGGAAGGCCCTGATTTCCTTTCTTTACAAGAAAAAGGGAAATGTCTTTCTTCTGAGATTCTCTGTCCTTCCCCTGGCTCCCGTGCTAAAGCAATGAAGTTTGGAGGAGCTGACAGAAGGAATGAGAGGCTTCTGTTTATGGAGATACTTCTATTTATGCCACTGAAGTGGCAAGTAAGGAAAAATTGTTCTTTAAATTTAAATGAGGCAAAATAACTATGGGGGGGGGATTGGCCTGAATCTCAAGAGTAGCAGAGAAGTCCTGCAGGGTTAGGTATGGGGAGGATTCAATAATAGATTAATTAATTAATTAATTAATTACATAAAATAAAATTCAAGTTGAGTTAGCAAGGAACTCTAAAGTTAAAATAGAGGCAGGGTGTGGTGGCGCACACCTGTAATCCCAGCACTTGGAAGGCTGAGGCAGGAGGATCGCTGTGAGTTCAAGACCAACCTGTGCTACATAGTGAGTTCCAGGTCAGTCTCAACTACATAGTGAGACCCTGTCTTGAAAATAAATAAATAAAATAAAGTTAAAATAGAGGGTAAAAGTCAAGATTCCATTCCATTCAACTGTAGTTTGTAATAGTTAAAGGGTAGTAAGGAGAGAACTTAGAAATATATCATTTCCCTATTAAATTAAAAAATAGAACCTGGGGGTGAAGTTAAGTAGTAGAGCCCTTGCCCAGCATGTACAGGGCCCTGAGCTTCAGCCTTAGCACTGCAAATAGCTAACTAACTAAATAAATAAAAGATATATTTTAAATCATCTTCCCTCTTTCTGAATACATAATGACTATCTTGTACAAACTAAAGCATACAAATATTTTTAAAATTTTTAAAAAGCCCTTTAAAGATGCTGTGAGTCACTCTATGTTATATGCCCCCCAAATGTATACATCAGGAAAAAAACTTATATAAATATTTTAACACTAAATTTATTGAGACATCATAAGATTAATACAAGTTACCTTGGCTTCTACAATTACTAGAGGTGCTCAAAGTGGTGGCCATTCACTTCCAGACATTTACTAGTGCAGCGAACTGCTGAAGTCTGTATACTTTGGTGTGTGTGTGGACTCTGTAGAATCACAGCTTTCAGGCTGTGCTTGCCCTAAGAGACTCCATTTGATATGGTATCAGTTTGCTCCATTTTGAGCACAAATGCAGAGGCGGAATGATTTGGTAACTTGTCTATGCATACAGATAATCACCAGGTGCGGACACACCCAACTCATTAAAAACCCCAAACAAAACAAACTCCCAACTGCACAGCAAAATCCTAAGGCACAAAGTAATAAATCAATCATGCTAACAAAAAAATCATCACTTATAAACTTATCCAACTAAATCAGGGGCGTCAGATAATCACCAGGTGCGGACACACCCAACTCATTAAAAACCCCAAACAAAACAAACTCCCAAATGCACAGCAAAATCCTAAGGCACAAAGTAATAAATCAATCATGCTAAAAAAAAATCATCAATTATAAACTTATCCAACTAAATCAGGGGCACATGGACACAGGATACTTTGAAGTTATGCCACAGCAAGCCAGGCCTGTGAGCTTAGGGGACAGAACAGACTGATGACTGATGCGCCCCACTCACTTGGGTCCTATTAAAGGAGGGACATCCAGCTCTGGGGTGCAGCAGTGGCAGACACTGATCTGTCACCCATAAGACCAGCTGGTGTCTGCCCTTGAGGGCAAAGGCAGCAGATTCCCACTCCATGGGCTCTGGCTTAGTCCCCAGCCTTCAGCCTCAGCTCAGCTTCCCTGGTTAGTGTGGCCCTTTCTGGACTTGGGCTTTGAACAAGTTCTGCCCTCTCCTCAAGTCCCTCATTTACTTTGGAAATACAGTTATAGATCTCTGTGCAGTCTGTAGTCTTATGTGGCCTCTGTGTGACTTTTCCTGTCTTCTGGGCCCCTGCCTTGGCTTTCAAATCTGCCTCTTTAGCCTGCAGCTACATTAACCCTCTCCTAGCCAGTATGTAACATCCACATGATTGTGTGAGGTGTGGTTCGAGTGTTATAGATATCA